ATAAATAAAGGAAGAAAAAAACGATGAAAAGGAATTGAGATAAGATACTGAGCATCATTCTGCACACGGTAAAGAGTCATAAAAACCATGCTGGAAAACTCCTTCCGCAGCAATTAATCCGTTGGCTGCTGTGCATCGCCATAGAAAAAGAGAAGCAATTAATTTAAGGATACTTCCTCCGTCAGGTCGGGGTGTATGTGTAAATAGCAGAGTCATGACATCATAATGTATGAGTAACCGTGCATCAGATGACGCTGAACCGGCCTAATTGATGCCGTGCATGTGTGCATAGCATCAAAGAAGCGGCAATCCGAAAATGAAATTGAACTGCGTTTAAAAATTATTTTGTGATATTAAAAATCGTTCTTCGATCGATTTATAGACGGGCCAATGCCTGCCAACACCATCGACGACGACGACGATATCGAGGCGAAAATGAAATTGGCCAAACGAACGAAATGGTAGAAAAAGAGCAAAAAAGAGAGAGAGAAACGAAATGAAGCGATCTACCAAAAATGTGTGTCCCCTTTCTCCTGTACCAAGACCGCACACAGTTTTATCGATTTGCTGCACATGCCACAAAACGAAAACCGTATCAATACGTGCGCATAGTCAGTTTCGTTCTACCTGTTGCTGCCACTTCTGCTCTGCACCGTTCGGCCCGGTCCGGTCCAGTTCGTTCATAAGAAAGACATAAATACCTATTTTTGGCTCGCGCATCTTTCACGAAATATAATAATAATATAATGGCAGAAGAAAGAGAATAAAACACCATACCGGCAACAGCAGCAGCAGCAACAACAACAATGGGGAAAAAGTCGAAAGTGGAGAGAGAGATAGAGAGAGCAGAGAGAAAAAAACGTCGAAAAGTTTCAAGCACACCCAGGCAAGCACCGGTATAGAAAGGAAAAGATCAAAAGAAAACTTGCACTAATGGATACGGCTAATATTAATTATTGTAATATGTATAAATTACCTCTCGCCTGAATCACATCAAAGCCAAAACGCCATAAGCCAGAGAGTGCTGAGCAAGCAAAGAGAGACACACACGAGAAAGAAAAAAAAACCAGCGAAACAAACCTTCACATACTTGTTCTTTCTTCTCGTCGGTCGGTATCCGTGTGAGATGAGTAACAGAAAGAAGAGCACCGAACTGGATGCAGAGAGCGAGTGGATATGATGAGAGGAGAGAAATAAAGGAGGTATTTTAATTTTCTTATTTCGTACCCAACACATTGTCCTTGCTGCGATATTTTGTTGCATGATTTCAAATGTATGAGAACAAAATGATTGGAAGAGAGAGAATTTTCGGTCCTTTTTTTCAGTTTCTGTTTAACACCGAATCAACACACCAAACATATTTTTCGAAACCAAATCAAGATTCCTTTTGCTTGATTTTATTTCGGAATTTCGCTTCTCGTTTTCTTTTCTCTCTTTCTTCTTCAAAACAGAACGAACTTGATGATAATGACACCATTTGAAAATAATGATGCTAATGATGATGATGAATATTGAATGGCATATTACACAATGTTGCACTCAAAATGACTTCATTCAATTTTTCATAATAATCGACGAGAATGAAACAAACCTCCTCTTATTCCACAGATCCTGTTCACGGCTGTGATTGAATCGTACAAGTGAAATTCATGCGTCATTGAACCGCAACGATATCGCATTGCATCCAGCTAAATCGACTAATCACATCGTATTAACGACAGCAAAATGCCGATTAAATGAGGGAATGATTTTTGCTACAGAAATCTTTTCCGGTTTGGCTTTATTATTCATCAGGTGCATTTCATATGGTTGCAACAATCGCTTGATTGAAGTTGTCTTCGATGCATCTGATAGCCCTGAATCAGAACCCAGTTACAACAGAAAGCTATCAATCCATTCAAAAACCGTAATGAAGAGTGTTCGAAACAGAAATGGAATTTGGTCCAAAATCTACTGTCTATCTTTGCTGATTACCGTCCGATAATTCACTGTCAATCGTTTGTTAACATCATTCTTGAATCGAGACCAACCTGATCGCACGTTGATCGCTTGATTTAAATGTGGGTCCCCGTTAGACTGGAAATATGCAAATATGTTAGCGCTTTGAAATAAATTAGTCGCCAAAATTGGATTGTGCATAATATTTATAGTGACGGTAATTTTTGCGGATCGTTCGTTTATCTGTTTGGGCATATCTTTGCTGTGTATGTTGTTGTTTAGTTGTTGTTGTTTAGTTTTGGTGCTGATACAAACGAAAAATTCAATCCAAATTGCCGTTTCGTTTCCCAGCAATAAATGTTTTAACCTTTTCTCTGTTGCATTTTATTAGATGTTCCTTTTTTTATCTTGATTTGGGCTTCATGTGTGTGTATATGTTTTTGTTTAAGTGCATGGAAACGTTGAGATGATCTCAGCTACTATAGCGTTCGATGTTGTCGTTGTCGACAGTAGTGCATTTTGTTCGTTGCGTATACAAAAAGTGCCGAAACTTCGAAAAGCCCAAATTACGGTCGATGAAGGAATATCGCTTTTGCCATCTGTGTACAGGAACGCGTTCCCTTTTGCGTTCTCTCTCTCTCTCTCTGTATGTCTCTGTTGCTCATCGCTTACTGGCAATTTAGAAAAACGTGTAAAAACATGCTGCGCTAACTCTAAACGAAAGAGCTACACTTGATATATATACATAAAACGGTCCCGACACTAAAGCCAACAACTAAGGTCCACGAAATAGCGCACACCACCGAACCGACTCATCGAAGACTAAATGAAAATTAAGGAGCGGTCATTGTTATGGTATTATTATTAGGTGTTTTCTCTTCTTCTGTGTTTATTTGGTCGTTTCCTTTGCGCCGTCGTCGTCGTTGTGTCGTTTCTCTCTCTGTCTCTTTCTTCGGCTGTCCAGCAGCACACACCACCAACATCGTCGTTGTTGTGTGTAGTGTCGACGAACGATGTGATATGCCTATAGCCGAAAATTTGTTCCCGAGCTAATTGAGATGTATTAGTTGAGAGCTGTAAAAATAAGGCGCTCCCCATCGCACTATTTGGTGTTATTTAATTGTTACATATTAATTTCGAATATAAATAAAACGAAAAAAAGGGCAAGGAAGAGCACATGGATGGAGCGCAGGAGACAAAGAGGCAGAGGCAGAGAATAAAGAAGACAGAGGCAGATATAGAGATTTGCCTTATGTCATTGATTTATTTTGAGCTACAAATTGATAGGTTAAATTTCGATGCCACACAAATTCATAGGAGATGCGAAGAGACAGGAAGACAATGAGACATCGAAAATGGTGTGTGTTTTTCCCTATTAAATCGGACAAATTTCCGCGATCGTAACCAAAACTCAATTAAAAAAAAGTATCACTCGATCTGATCATCGCGCGGGTCGATCATAAATCAAAGCGCACCGATGGACAAAAATCAAATTGAATTTGCATATTTCAAAAAGTCGTCGGCTCATTTTTCTCCTCCATCCAGCCATTTCTCTCAGCATAATGAAACAAATTCATTCGATTTTATGCGGTCGCTGTGATTTTTTCCTCCTCTTCTTCTCCTCCGAATGCAATGCGCATGCAAACGATACTTGCTGTTGCGAGTAATTGCTTTGGCACGATTGCATGCAATGCAAAATGTCTTTATTATAAAGAAAATTAATAACTGAAGCAAAATTTATTTGCGATATCTGTTTGCTGATCGAACACTGTTGATAATATGTGTGGTGGTGGTGGTGGTGGCTGGTTGCGTCGTGTGCTGCAAAAATCCGAAAAAAGAGAGAAATATTACGACACTTATTGCACGCGCGCAACCAGGAGTGAGAGAGAGAGAAAGAGAGAAAAAAAAGCATTTAGCCATCGATTTCGAGGCCATATGATTGGCGAAAAACAAAAGCAAAGAGAGAGAGAGAAAAAAAGCGCAGGCAATGCAAAGCAAAAAGAAAGCCAATATGCGAACTAAATGGCGAGATGAGGCTTCACATTCTTGGTGGTAATGAATTATGTGCGGCATATTAATAGTGTATTATAACGTACGCAACGCATACACATCGATTAAATATGTTAAAGCGTTTGTGTTTTGCCGGAGGTCCCCATCGAATTTGATGATAATCGTGTTCGTTGTGCACTGTTCTCTTCTGTCCATTCTTATCCCGAGAACGGCTAGCTATTCCTGTATGTGTGTTAGTGCGTTTTTTTCTGCGCATCGTTCGTTTTTAATTTTGTTCGTTTTAACAGTTCTGTTATTTTTCGATGGTTTTGATTTTTTTGCATTTTGTTTCTCTCTCTCTCTCGCTTTGATTCTTTTCTCCCTCTGTCTCTCTTTCACTCGCTCTCACACTCTGTCTCTCCATCTCTTTGGAATTTTCGTGTGATGCTGCGGTGTGCACACTGTGTGTGTGCGCGCACGTTGAAAATAAAGATGTTTCGTGACTATTAAACAGTTCTTTAAGTAATGATCATTAAATCGGGCTGTTGGATGCTCTCGGTGCGCTTTATGCACAACATTTTTATAGCTCGTTGCAGTTGAGTGTGTGTTTGTTTGTATCGGGGTTTTTCGAAAAGAAGGTTCGGGTGGCTTTATTAATTTCACGTTGGGAGATGTATTGCATTTCTTCGTGTGTTGTAACAACACACGAGATGGATTCATGCGCCGGGTTTTGTTCTTCTTCTTTCGTGTGATAAAGTGTGGTCTTTTGCCTTGCAGCCGTGATAAATAAATGCATTTCCCTTTACTCTCTGCACACATTGCAACGCCGCTTCGTTCACATTCAACCATCTAGCACTCGTCTCTTTTCTTTCAGCGCGCTGTAAACACATTTCATTTTCGAGATCAATTCGTTTTTATTCCACTTTTTGTTTATCAAGTAAGTACAATGTTTTTTTTGTTTTTGTTTTCGTTGGGAAAACAAACAGATAAAACAGCTGAGCGATACATTAAAGGAAAATAAAACTGAGAAAGAAAAGTGCAAACTAATGAAATTATACGCTATGGGAAACTGATTTTCCAATGTTTTATGTGTTATCGATCTATTTACATACAAAATCCAAAATGAAATGCTTAACTCGTCTAATGATAAAATGCGCAAAAAATCGTATTGTTATTTGCATGTATTGACTTCGCGCCGTTCGATGCATGTGCTGCATGTTACCTCACAACACCATTTGAACATACAGCGGCAATTGACTTTTTCGCGTATGATTTTATGATCGTAACCACGATTGCAACAAAGCAAATCACAACCATCAATTGCAGCTGATGTTGAGTTACACTCACGGCCAATCGTTCCGAGCGAACCAGTTTTTGCATTGAATCGACAGAAATCACTTGAATCTTCGGTGTAAACGAGATCATGGCGTGTCGGTTGCTTAATCGATGGAATTTCCGGCATAAAACTATGACCATCATTTCGTGCTATCACCTTGGCCGCACCATCAAAACGCTCCTTTAGCCGACTACCAATATCACGGAACGGTGCCATTTTCATCCAACACGTTTTTATCGTACACGAACCGGACAGCCCGTGACATTTGCACTCGACGCGCATCAAATTTTTTACGGCCTTGATGATGAGAAGAAAAAAATAAATGGTAACAAAAATTATGGAGAATAGAAAATAGAAAAAAATGAATGGAAAATTGAAAGAATTGTATGTAAGATTAGAAAAACATCGACAGAAAAAGTGAAATACGTATCAAAGCACTAGGAATAGAAAAAAAGGAACAACAAATTGAAAAAAGAGAGAGAAAAATAAGTGCAATATTGAAAATTGAACTCTAAGCTAGCTACAGAGCTCTGATCATTTGTATGAATTGTTTTGAATGGCAATTGTTTGCTTTCACTGCAAACATACAGTAAACACAGCAATTGCATCCACTCTCATTTTCTCTCTCTCTCTCTCTCTCTCTCACCATCCATTTCCATTGTGTCGATTTATCGCTTACCAATCGGCCGGCATTGTTATTATGTAATTTGACTAATGTTCGTATATCGCTGAGTCGTTGGTATCTGGAATCGAGAAAGTCCTTTGATTTGCGAAATCCAAACATGACATTGTCACCGCAGCCACCCCATTGCCAGTCATTGCCTTCCGGTAATATTACGTTACGGTAAATATTGCGATTGCGTAGATATGAGTTGTGTGTATTGTGGCGACGCCGTTTGTGCTTGGCATTGGCAGCAAATCTGGTTGAACGAGTGGTGTCCATCACATCGTATCCGTTGCCGTTGTCACTGCTTTGTGTATTGTATTGAAGAATGTGATTTTTATCGCATGAACATTCGACTAAATCTCCCATTGTACAGGCTCGGGTGATGGCATATGTAATGCCAGCTGCTGTGATGGCACTAACAAAGCTCGTTTCCCTTGTATCTGCTTGGCGAATCGATCCAATCCCGAGCAAAGCATCGAAGGCAGATTCATGTAATGAAACAAGAACATCAAATATATGAAACGACAACAAAAACGAAGAAAAAACAACAACAACAGAAAACGCGTATAAAATTAGGCAAATAAATAAGTAATTTACGAAATGGGTCTATTATTAAAAACGATTTGCACTGCAAACATTACGCCGCTTATCGTTGAAATCTTTTGTTTGCGTTAAGCGCAACAGACCACTGCAAACACTGTGTGGTGGCTCTCAAATCGATGCGATTCTACTTTTGTTGGTAGTGTTGAGTGCATCTGACAACTTATTTACAACAGTTTTACAAATGGATAAACAAATCGTTGGCACAAATTATGCTAATTTAAATGGCAAACGGGGCAAGGATAGACGGGTAGAAAGCGATACACAGAGCTAGATAAGATAGTTATTATCTCTTTCATTCCACTCTCTGCCACCTTTTTTTTACAATTTCCGATAGCAATATACTCAATCGCTGACGCGCTTCTTTCCTTTTTTTACACGCTCGTTTCCATAATTATTCTAATTAAATTTATTAAAACGATGATGGCACGTTTTATTCAAACGGTTTTTACGCTAACCGATCAATCATATTCACACAAATGTATCTTAAATATACAGTATTTGCATCCTTTAACAGGTTATTATTTCTGCATAAGAGAGTGAAAGAACGAAGAGAGGAAAAAGCAACAACAACAGCGCAGCACAACAGCAACGACAGAGAAACCGATTAAACAAGACGACGACGACGACGACGACGACGACGATGCGTAGAATTGTTTTTCATAGAGAAGAACATGATCATGTTTTTATTTTGCCTACGTACGACCGTACACCGTTTGCATATATGAATTCCCATTTTAAAATTTGCATAATAATGAGAACAGTGTGTTTATTTATACAGCTATTAATGTCATTATTTCACAACCATTTATGATGATATACGTACGTTGAGTGGCGGAAATTTGCATAGATCATAGTATATTGTATATCGTTTACTCGGTCTCCCTCTCTTTGTGTCTGTGTATTAAGACATCTAGTCTTTCTCTTCATTTTCATTCAAAAAAAACACATCAATTGAAGACAATGTGCCTTCGAGTAATACAATAAGTTACCAAAATCACCATTTCAGCGCCATCGCCGCCATGCACACATGCCACATATGAACGGTGACACAAAATATTGTTGGCATGTCGGTTGGCTGCTGCTGCTGTGACGAGTGAACAACTTATTTTTCATGTCATCAATCTCCGGTTAATCCGTCGTTCGTATTGGCTACTCGTCAGGTGAACAGGCAAATGAATTGCAAGTCAATTTGTCAATGAATTTGTGCACTCGCCCGTAATTGGCATATACGAAAATTGATTCGTCGTCTCAATGCTCATGCCAATTTTTTTTCCTCTCTTTCGTTGAATGGACAGCATACGTCGTGTTTTCACATTGATTTAAACACACACGACGACGACGACGATCAAAAGCCTCGGAGGCAAGCAAATAGCATATATTCAAACTGAATCGATTGGTTTGGTTGGCATCCAAATGATCGATTCTATTGCCGGCTCAATGTGACAGCCACAAGACAGCCAAACATCAACTTCACCCCGTTCGGTGTGTGTAAACATTGATTGGCAGCAGTCTTGTCATCAATTCAATTGTACGGCTGTGGTGCAGAAAAACGCGTGTTGTTTATGTGGCAAACTTCCTGTACGAGAAGCGGATTTCGGATTGAATTGTGAGTGGCAAGTGCATTTGTGATGATGCATCAAATAAATCTGAATATGAATACAAATCAACCGCACTTGTCTCGGCTCATGCCAAAAATGGAAAAAACAGCACCATTTAACCAAAACTCACGAAGAATCAACCGAAAAACGAACCATCCAAGTACTAAAGTTCTAGCTAATGCACATCGCATTTACATTCAAGTATTTCATTTACGTTTGCATTCAATTCAGATTGTTCAGGATTTTCTTTTTCTCGTATTTTTTTCGCCACCGATATATATATATATATATATAATTCAATGTCGTCGACTGTTGTTATTTGTTGTCTCGCCGTCGCTCTTTGTACAGAAAATATTCAATACAAAAAACAAAAGCCATTCCGCAAACGAATTTAAATTGATGATTGTTTCGCATCAGATTTTAATCCATTTTAATGTACAGTTTATTTAGTTTGAAAGATTTTGTATGTGTGTGACTGTGGAGCCACCGTTAAATTGGGTTTTGTATGCAAAAATGCAAGTAAAGCATCAGTTTGTAATCACACACACACACACACACACACACACACACACACACACACACACAC